GTGGATTGTCAGTGATCAAGAACTCAGGTTGGAGGGTTGTTTTGTTTTGTTGGTTTGGCTTTTTGAGACACAGTCTCACTAAAAAGAGGCCCTGAAACACACTGTGTAGCCCAGGCTGGCCTCAAACTCACAATCCTCTTACCTCAGCCTCCTAGGTGCTAGGATTGCAGACATCTGCCACCACACTCAATAACTCTTACCTGTTAGGAAAAGTGCGTTGCCTAAGGTCAAAGCCAAGCTTTGAACCCAGATCTGGGCGTATCTCCAGCCTGTTCTTAAGCACTGCATACATGTATGCCCTCTCTTGTATGGTTGCATGGGCTCTTTCCAACCTGTTTATACCGTACTCCCCTTTTATCCAGGACGAGGCTTTCCAACTGGAATGCCTGCCAGACACTGCCTTCTCAGTGGCCTTCTGTCAGGTGCAAATGTGGTCTGTGCCATTTAAGACTCTTGACACCCCGGTCAATGAAAAGGAGAGAAGGACCTTCTATTGACATCAGACAAGAAATGGAGCCCAGGCCTCCACTCAGCAGCCTCTTCTCACTTCCCTGCTGTCTCATGTTGCCCTGCCCCTGCAGCACAGGGCTTATAACTGGCAGTCTTTCTTCTTAAGACTTCCCAAATTCTTCTGGGCATGGTAGTACATGCCTGTAATCCCAGTACTTGGAAGGCAGAGGCAGGAGTAAGTCCCTGTCTCAAAAAAACAAAAAAGACGAATCTCCAAAGCCCAAACTCGCCCTCTAGTTCAGAAAGTGGTGGAAGGGCCAGATAGGCCCAACTTTCTCTGCACCCTCAAAAAGTCTTTGTCATTCTGGACCATGAACTCTGCTTCTCTTCCCACTGCTTGCATACTACACACACACACACCACACACTCTTTCTCTCTCACACACACACAGGTGCACATGCCATGCTTGCCTCTCTTGGGATTTGGAGTTAGAAGATGAGCTGTCCTCTTGGCTGTGTGACATGGGCAAGTCACTTACTCTGTGCCTTATTTGCCTCAGCAATTGATGGAGACAGTAATGTGACACCTATTGCAGAGGCTTATGGTGATCTCTGAATGACAGTCATGACCTCCCTTTTTGTGTTATTTTAACCTTTTTATTTGCAATTTCCAATTTCATTATATATGAATATGAATACATCTATTCAAAGATTTCATCTATAAAAATCTATAGATTTCATCTATAAAAATCTTCTTGATAAAGCAAATGTCATTTTGACTGTGTCCCTCACTGTCTCCCAGTGGTAACCACTGTGGACAATGGTCTCTCCTTCCAGACCTTTCTATACAGATACTTGCTATACAGGCTCCTAGGACACATACAGTTTTGTGGGATCATATGATAGGGACTTTATCTAGCTTGCTTTTTCCTTGTGGTAACAAATATCAGTGATGTTTCTGCCTCAGTACTACTGCCAGTTTAGTTAACTGGTCCCCTGTTGATAGTTTGGGTGGTTTCCAGCTGCGAGAATGGCCTGGAGTGTACCGCTCTGTGCACCCGTGCTGGCATTTCTGTAGGACAGATGCAGTCCATAGGTTCCTTTTTATGCTGGTTCAACACATTGCAACCCCAGCTCTTTGTATTCAGGTGCCTGTTTGTTGGTGGCCTTTCTGTAGCATGGCTCTCCTGGAGTACCTCAACCTCCTCTCTGAGGCCACATGCATGGGGGACAACCTGAGTCCTGATAAAGCAGGGTCAGGCTAGGTCCCAGAGCAGGTGCATCCCTGGCCAGCGGGTAAGCAGTGTGCTGGTGCTCCTCCACCCTCTGCACTCAAACTAGGAGCCCACTGTGCCTCAAACTCCACCAGAACAGGATGAAGATGAGGTTCCAGCACAGACAAGTGACCATCACCAAGTCACTCACTGATCTGAGACCCCTTGCCTCATATGATAAATAATGACCATGCATGTGCAAGGAGTATTCCATTGTAAGTTGACAGTATCTTCATCCCACCACTGACTCTCACTCCATCCCATGTGTTCCTTCTGCAGGGTCTTGTGTTCAGCTGGCCACTCAGGCAAGCACCTGCTGTCCTTTAAGGTGTCAGCAGTCAACTCAGTTGTTAGCTATCAACTAAGACCTTAGCTACCAACTAAGATCTGTAACCAAGATAATCTCTCCATGAAGATGCTCATTAACAGTGCTTTCCATCACCTGGGACAGGCTGGAAAGGCCAGTCAATTACTTTCCCTTGTAAGGAGTACATACTCATCATGGAATCTCTGATGTGTCTTCACCGCCCCCCCGCCAAGCTGTCAGTTCTATGAGGGAAACATAGTAGGTGCTCTGTAGATAGTACAAATTAGTGAAAAGTTGACTCACAGGCATAAGATTGCAGTGATGGGTAGAAACAGGCAGTGGAGTTGAAATTTGGAGCAGATCATCCCAGATAGCACCAGGTAGATAAGCATCCATGGCCAGAGGCCAAGGGCAGGGGCCACAATCATTCCACTCCTCTTTTCTCTGAGAGAGAAGAGCCAGCTGGCTGCTCCAAGAGTCCCCCGAGGTGGGTGTTCCTTGAAGGGGTCACTCTGAGACCCTATCAGGGCTAAGCCTTCTAGGTTGAGAGATTCTATTTCATTAGCTCACCCAGGGGTGACCAGGCTCTGGGAAATCAACCAAGCAAGCAGCTGATTGATAAGCAAGCTCAGCAATTTATTAACTTATGCTGGCAGCTGTGACTGCTAAACAGCCTGTAGCATTTGAGCTGGTCTCTCTGCCAACTTGTTTTTTCTGCCAATGGAAAACTTACTTGAAAATCCAAATCAAATTCTGCAGAGTGGAATGGATTAGAATGATATGAGAGAATAATAGTTGATGCCACTTTACACTCTCATTGGTGATATGGGCATTATTTCTATCCCATTTTGCAGATGAGGACACTGGGGTCTATTGGCTGATTTGACACTGAGGGATAGAGCCAGGACACAAACCCTGGCATCCCAGCTTCTGTCCAAGTTCCCGGGTACCCTTCTCTCAGTGCTGCTGAGCTCAGGAGCCTGACACACCCACACAGACTCCCTCAGCTCTCGCCACAGTTCCCCATTTTCCTTTTGTTAAGGCCACACAGCTTTCCCTAGGAACATTTCTCCCTCCCTAATGAGATGTGGGAGCCACCTGAGTCTTGTCAGCAGGGTCTACCTATTCTCAAGAGGGCACCCCTCCTTCTACAGACAGTAACAATAAACCCAGTAATGGCTCCCATTCATTAAGTGCCAACCGCGTGCCAGGTGCCGTGCACACATTATCTCACTCTCACGACAGCCCCACGAGGCAAGCACGCTCATTCTCTTTCACAGCTAGGGACTCACAGGCTCAAGGAGATTAAATGCCTTGCCCAGGGCAGCTTGTGAGTGGCAAGGCAGAGACTCCAAGTTAGGCTGACACTCAAGACTGAGCTTATCATCCTTTCTCTCTGCCCCACCTTCAAGGGTGACCTGCCCTCGCATCCTACATGCTGGACTGAGGGCATTAGCATGAAAAAAAGGGATGCTTCCAGGATTCCATGGGACTGCATCCAAAGCAACTTCAAAGAGTGTGGGTACTGGGAGTTGAGGAGTCAGTGGAAAGAGAACGGGGCATACCCTCAGTCTCCAGAGTCAAGCGCAAGTTTCAAAGTCAGGCTCCAGCCCCTTTCATCCTCTCTCCCATCTCACAGTGCTCCTGCCACACCAGGCCCCTCAGGTCCCAGAGCTTCTCTGTCTAGCAAACTCCTACTTATCCTTCACATTCCAGGTAAAATGTCACCTCTCCTGGGATACCTCCCACCAACTCAATCAGGATCCTCCTCCTTCACAGCTGTAATTACAGCATGCACTGGCATTTCTTATAAATATCTGTACGCGTGCCCCACTAAGCAGGGAGCCTCCCTACAGCAGGCACAAAGCACACACTTTGTGTCCCTCATTGTCTCCAGTTCTCAGCAAGTCCCTGGCAGGCAGTGACCGCCCCATGCATATTTTCTGTATAACGAATGAATTTCAGAGGACCCAAGGAACACAGGTCTACCACACCTGTGATGGAAGAGCTGGGTGCAGCCTGGTTAACAAGAATGTGAATGGATTTAATGAATTGGCATCTCCATGGCAATGGCTCTTACCCATTTATAAACTGGTGGAACATTTGACCTCCCTTCTCAGAAAAGTGTGCCACACTTACCAGATTTCATGTACTGCTTCTGGGGGCTTCTGCTGGCTGGCTTGGACCCCAGAGGAAAGCTCTATGGGAGGTGAGGGGGCGGTCACCATGTCTGTTCAGAATCCATTAGGCTTCAAAGGTGCTCCAGGGGGATCCTGTTTCCTGGGAGGAAATGGATTAACCCCAGTGCTGCCTGAGCAGCAAAGCAGAATAGCTAAGTGTAGGGGCTCTGAAGATGGTCTGCTCAGGTTCAAATCCTGTTTTTGACACTTCCCAGCTGTGTAAACTCTGGCAAAATATTTAACAACACTGGCCTCAGTTTCCTCTAGGGATAGTAAGTCCTATTGGAAGGGGGTCTTAGTAGGACTAAAAGGACTGAAGTTTGTAAGGCACATAGCAAGTGCTCAGTGGGTCTCTTGTGATTAACTCCAATAAGAGCAGGGCTTCCAGGGAATGGCAAGATGACAGGCTCAGCTTGAAGGTCCCCTCCTCTAGGAAGCCTTCCTAACTCTCTGCCATTCATATAGGTCAGTCTCTGTGCTTTTGTTATCACACTCTGCCCTCCCCCCATGGCACTTTGTATTGCTTTTGGGTTTCACTTGTCACATTGACACTTCCCACTAGACTAAGCTCTCTAAAGGAAGGGATCCTATCTCTCTCCTTCTCTGCTGTATCCCTGTGCCTGGCACATAATAGCTGCTCAGTAAATAGGTGTTGCATAGAATTAGAGGTAGAAGGTGTTGAGAAAGTTCCAGAGGCCAGGCTGTTACTGGAGTGTCGCTGAGCAACCTGGCAGCAGGTAAGGGTAATATGTCAGGGGTGGGCTGACTTCTCTCTCCTTTCTTTCCCCAGTTCCTGGCATTTGACACCCAATTGCTGATGGGTAACCGACGCCACTCGCTCAGCCCTGAGGAGTATATTTTTGGAGCCCTCAACATTTACCTAGACATTATCTATATCTTCACCTTCTTCTTGCAGCTTTTTGGCACCAACCGGGAATGAGGAGCCTTCCCTACCCCCATCTTCCTCCAGAGAATGCCCCTCCTGGTCCTGTGACCTCCCTGTGCTCTTGCAAGGCCAGAGATAAACTCACTGCAGCCGGCCTTATGGCCAGCGCTCCCTCCCTCAAAGAGCCCTCACCCTGCCCTCTGCTGCTTGTACATACGCCATCATTTGGGGCACTATGGAACTGAGGCCACACTGTCCCTTCACGATGCTGCCCACTTCCCCCTAATTACATCTTCCAAACTTGGACAGTCAAGGCTAGGGCCCCTCTGGTTTTGAGGACCCCAGGGATAAGTGGGAGGAACCCAGCGGGATCTCAGAGGTGAGGAGGAGACCCCAGGAAGCCTGGCTGAGACCTGTGACCCCACCAAGACACCTCTTAGGGCCACCACGTTGGGGTGACCCTGGACATATTATCCTGTGTCCACTCTACCCCTTTTCTCTCTTTTCCTAGTTAAACACTGACACTTTGTAAGGAAGAGGCCAGGGGTGGGAGGGCTCAGCTGGTAGAGGAGGGGAAGGTGCTGCACAGTGGAGGATGAGGAGTTCCCAGGCTGTTTAGCTCTAGGATCAGTGGTTTGTTCTGGGGACTTAGGGGGAAGGGGCCTCTGCTGCTTGCTTTGGTCCTCCAGGGTCATGGCAGGGGGTGAGAGCAGAGAGCCAACCAGGGGACTGCACTGTTCAGAATGGGTAATCCATCCAGACCTGAGTCCACCTGCTGAGTGTTCCAGGTCACAGGACTAAGACCCACATCTTCTCCCTCTTTTCTTTTCACGCTGCCTCCTCAGGCTGCTCCCGGAAGCATGAGGAAGAGTAAGGTGTAGGGGCCTCTGGGAGGAGGCAGTGCCATCTTCTGGGCCAGCCTCATGTGGAAGGATCCTACCCTGCCCCCAGCCCTAACCCAAGGCTGCCCCAGTCCCTTCTGCACCATCTACTGCCACCTGCTGGCTTATCCCCAGCCAGACCTCCTTGAGGCCATAAGTTGACAGTCCCTTCCCCCAGCTTCCCTGGTCCTTGAGCTCTTAATGACCTTATCGCTGCATCTCTCCCATTTGGAAGCTTGCCAGCTGATGCTAATATCCAGGGCCAATCACTTGAACTGGTCCCATTTGATGAAGCCAGGGCTCCTTATCAGCCTCCAGGCAGCTGGGATCTCAGGTAGGGTGTGCGTCAGCCACCTGGCCCCTGGCTGAGTGCCTGCTGGGGAGGGGACCAGGGGGCCACACCTGGGGCAGCATGCAGCCAGTATATTCACGTGGCCAACTTTGGGCCAGTGGAAAGTTACTGAGTCAAGGCAAAAAGTCTCTGAGTGGATACTGGGACCTCCCTTGGCCCTTCCTCCTGGGCTCTCCCTAAACTGAGGACTGTGTTTGCCCCTAGGAAAGGTGACTAGGTACGCTATCTATCTATTCCCGACCCCAACCTTCCTCACCCTTCCTACTTCTAGCTTTCAAGAAATATTGCAGAAGCATTTGAAATTTTGCTCCATCTTGGGTATTTGAGGAAAGAAGGAACCAAGAACCACAGATGGTGTGTGTGAGGTAAAGGCAACCAGGGCATGGGATGGAGGTACCTACTCTGTGCTGCTCTGAATTAATCCAGTGTAGCAATCCTACAAATGCTCTGCACATCTCCATAGCAGAAGGCAAAGGTGAGGCACTCTAAAAGGCTTGGTAATGAGTCCAAGGTCATATAGCTAGCAACTATCACATAAAAGGCACCACTCTTGCCCTCCAACCTGAGTGGGGGCTGGAATGAGACTGTGTGGTTGCCCAGAGGGGGGGGGGTGTTAAACCATGACATCTCTGAGGATTAGTGTCACCTTGCCTTGCATCACCAGATTTCACACTCTGAGATTTCCACCTTCTGGACACCACCTAGGAGGCAGGATTTCTGGTTTTTGATTCCTACCCTTGCTGCCAACAGGTTTGTGGTATTAGGCAAGGGTTTCTTGCTGTCTGTGGTTCAGATGGAAGTCTCTTGCCAATGTGGGACTGGGAGAGTACTTACTGCCATTAACTGCTTCACCCCCCCCTTCTCTGAGGTTCCTCTCCTAATCTCCAACTTCAATTCTAAAAGTTTAAAAATGCCCCACCCTGCCATTGACCTGCCATTCTCATACTGGCCAGGTTCCCAGAATCCACTTGTCCAAGCCCTCCTCTTTCTGGGATAATTTATGCAGACTGAGGATTAAGGAGTTTTTCTAAGCTAAGCTCCAAAAGATTGGGGGAAGGCCAGGCCCTCAGCCATAAATAAGATGACCCAGGCACAAATCACAGTGATCTTAAAGATGGTCCTTGGTGAAGGTGGAAAGGCCCAGCAGAGGATGTTAGTCTCCTACCCTTAGTCCTAGCATAGTCCAGGGCACTGCTGAGCTGACAGCAGGGCCAAAACCAAAAACTGTGTCCCATCTCTGACCCCGGCAGTGAGGAGCCCCAGGAACACCTGGATGGTCTTGGAAGGAGGAAGGGGGTGGACAGAAATGAGGATTATGAGGAACTCAGGATTATGAGAAACTGAAGCTGAAGCCAGGCGGCTGCCACAAGCTGTAGAGGAGGAAGGGCACCTGCTGGCCCCTCATATTTTTGGCCTGGGTGGAGCTGCACCTGAGAAGGTGTAGCTTGGATTTTATAAAGCTAAAGGAAGCCAGGAATCTGACCATCTGATGAGGGGTGATAGGGAGATTCTCTGCTCTGGAAGCTGCAGATCGGGGCCAGTGAGGCACACCAATTCCCGACACACGAGCCGCGTCTTCTGTCTGGGGAAGTCCCAAGAATCTTAGTTCTTCGGTTCCTTGCTCTTCCTCCTGGGGGAGTCAGGATCAGACAGACAGCCTTGTTCGGAAAGGCTGTGCATCTCTCTCCCTGGCCCACTTGGGGATTTTTACACAAGCACCTTGCTGCCCTCCTGTGGCTACTTAAGGGAAAGCAGAGCCTGGTTCTGTGGAAAAAGAAATGGGAGGAGGGATAGGACCTGTCTGTGGGTTTTTCTTCTTAGAAACCACTGACTGTTCCCTTTTATCCAAAAATGTCCCTTTTGTCACACCTCTCAGACACTGTCTGCTGAAAACCATCCCTATGCAGCCACCTGCCCTGATTTTTCCCGAAGTCTCTGAGGGCAGAGATTCAGTACTAAGGACAAGGGCACAACTACCACACCTCCAGACACACTGCTGCCCTCTGGCCTCAGCTCCTCCAAACTCCCTTGGGACCCCTGCCTGTCCTATCCTCTGGTCTCACCTTCCCAGGGTTTGTGACTGACTAAGAATAAAAGCAATTACTATGACATCTAATCTGTTTCCTTTGCCTGCCTTTTGCTTGTGGCCTCAGATGGTAACATGGAGTCTATGTAAGGTATAACTCAGAGCAGTGAGACAGCTTTCAGAGTTACTTCTGGTGTAGCTCCGTGTGAATTAAATCCCCACCTTCATTTTCATGAGGAAAAGAAGACTGGTCCTGCCCAGTGAACCCAAAAGGCTCTTAAGATTCCAAAACCAGAATGAATCCTCCAAAGGTTCCTCCAGACTGACCAACACTCACCTGGTCCATGGAAGACTATTCATCGTGGGCAGTTCTGTTAGGAGATTCTTCCTTATTTTGAGCCAAAATGTTTCCCTAAAATGAAAGCCTGTGTGGTACCTTGACAGATCTTCCAAAGCTGCAGCCTGACATCTATAAAACTGTCTTGTTCACCTAGAATCCACAGTGGAAGAAGGGACAGAAGGAGGGAGAAAAGAAAAAAGGAAGAGAGCGAGGGCAGGAAGGAGAGAGAGAGAATAATATTCCAATCCTTTTATTTTACCTAGGAGGAAACTGAGGAGCAGAAGTTGCAGCGACTTGTCAAGTTTATGCACAAATTACAGACTGGAGTAGAAGGCACATGAATTAATGATTACATTAGCAGGTTCCTGTGGGGTCTTGGGGCTGGGGACAACTTGTGGGAGCAGTGGGAGACATTATCCATTTTCTCTAACAAGATTTTGATATAAGTTCAGTTGAAGCAGGGAAAGAAGCAGGGGCAAGAGTTAGCAGATACTGAAGAGAAAAATTAGTAATTTTTATTAAGCACATCCACAGTGATAGGAGAGGGAGAAGATGCCAACCATGTGGCAGGACAGAAAAACAGCCACAACAGCTGGAGATCCTCTAGACCAGAAAATCCCAAATAAATGCCTTTTTTTTTGTTTGTTTGCTGCCCTCCGCCCTCCCCCCCACCCCGCACCCCGACTATTGTAGCCCAGGCTGGTCTCAAACTCACAATCCTCCTGCCTGCCTCAGCCTCTGGTGATCTGGGATAACAGGCATGAGCTACCACACCCCAGCAAAGAGTTAGTGTTGAGATGGGGAATGGGAGCAGGGAGAACTCTGTATCAGGCTATACAATGAGAACAGGTAGAAAGGAAGAAACAGGGCAGTGTAAGTTGGGGGAGGCAATATTGGGCTCCTGTGCCTCCAGCCTCCACAGCCTGTCAGACTCCCATCTCCTACCCAGCCTATCAGTTTCCTGGGGCTGCCGTTACAAATTACCACAAACTGGGCAGCTTAAAACAACAGAAATGATTTGTTCTCCCACAGTTGTGGAGGTTCCCCTGGGCTGGTTCCTTCTGGAGGCTCAGAGAGCAGACTCAGTGGTCTCCTGGGCTGTGGCACCCTAGCCTTTCCCCCTGTGTCTGTCTCCAAACTCTTCTTTCTATTCTGGGGAAAACTACCTCTGGATTTAAGTCCTGCTATAAATCCAGGATGATGATCTCATCTTAAGATCCCTTTTTTGGAAAAAGATACAATTTCCAAAAATGGTCATATTCACAGGTGCAAGGGTTTAGGACTTGGACATATGACTTTGGGGACTGTTTTCCAACCCACTACATCATCCACTTCCTTCTGGCAGCTACTACCCAAGTGGTGGTCTCCATGCACCTGTCCTCCAGAGCTGGAGTAGTAGTCTTCATGTGCAGTACCAGGCCCCCAGTGAAGCTTGAGTAAATCTAGAGCTGAGCT